GCAGGGACGCCCCCTCCCCTGGGGATTACGGCAGCCTCCGTTGCCAGACCCGGGCGGGAAAAGGGCGGCAGGTTAGGGTTAGCCCCTTGGTCTTCTTGGTCCTCTCTCCCCTCGCACCCCACCCCCACTTCCACTTTGATCTTGTCCTCTCTGCCCGGGATAGAGGATGAAGCGGGGGGGGGTGCATTGTGAAGTGTGTGCTGATGGGGGGGGGAGTGTTCTCGTGAAATCGACAGGTAGATGGGATTGCCGGCTTCGTGTATGATTGATCTTCGTGAGGCTTTGTTCTAGGCTGGAATGGGGTCCTGAGGGACCCTGCAGATTTCAGAGCCATGCAGAACCTGGGCAACGGAGGAGCGAAGACAATTAGCAGCAATCCTCTAAACACATGCATACATGCATGTGTTTGTGTTTTGTGTGTGCGTGTGTGCATATATGTATCTTTAGATACATTGCCCCTGCACAATCTACATATATATATATTTACACGCGCGTGCAAGGTAAAGAAAGTGTGTGGGGAGATTTTTAGAGCGGTGCTTGCTGGAATGGGGGCAGAGGATTCTTCTTTTACCTGCTGCAATGTGGCAGCAAGGAATCCCATTGACTTAAATAGAATGAGGGGCCATCTTTTCATCCTTAAAAGATGTGACAGCCCACAGCCGGGCGCTGAACAGCTCCTTGCTGGCTGGTCCTGGAGACGACTCCTTGGCTCGCCATCCTGCCTCTCATAGCCCTTCAGGTTCTCTGCCTCCTCAGGTAGGTGGGGGGACTTGAATTTGTATGCTAGTGGATTATAGAAGAGTATTATGGAGAAGGTAAAAATCTGAGCTTGCAATACAACCTTACCTCAGGCATGCTGAGATCCACAGAGACCCTGTTCTCTTTGTGGAAAGACTGTTCAAAGGGCCAGTTTCACCAGTAACTAAAAAGCGGGAAGTGTGTGTGTGTGTGTGTGTGTGTGTGTGTGTGTTAAACCAGCCAATTTTTCTGGGGCTTGTGTTCCATTTATTAGTTTAACTGGGTTACATTCCTCCCGTTTAGCTTTCCTTCCTTCCTTCCCTCCTTTTTTGTCAGGGGATTTTCTTCTAATTGAGATGCTGGCTATATCCGACATGATTGTGCCCACAGTCCTTGCTCTGACCTCTTCCCTTGCTTTCTGAGGAAAGTGGGTCAGCATCTCCTGAGAAATAGATCTATCTGGCACTTTTCTTTGTGAGTTTTTACACTGCCAGCTGGTTATGAGGCTGCACTCTGGCCTCTGTGTTTATGCACATCTTGAATGTGCTTTGCTTCAATTATTCATTTTGGTGCTACAGTAGTTTCCTGCAGCTTTTCTTCTCCCAGGAGCTGGTGTGTAACAAGATTTTTAACATGCTCTGCTTTTGAGGATATCATCCCACTTAGCCAGATGGCAGATGGCTTTATATCTGCGGTTACTATCAGAGAAGTAAGGGTTAGCCAATAACAGGGAAATGATTCTGCATCTGTGTCTCAAAACTGTGCTATAGATCTCAGTCTCAAAAAATTCAGGGGTGGATACGCAATTTAAATTAGAAGTTATGGGGAACCATATACTGTACAAGTTAACCTTTTGCGTCCCTTTAGAATCATAGGATTCATTTGTATTAGTCTGACAAGTTAATAAGTAAATGCAAAATCAAACTCACAAAGCTTTCCATCCATAGACATTTGCAACTCTTTGTTGGCATCATGATTTTCAACAAGAAATCATAATTTTAGAAATCAATTTTGGTGTTCACAGCAAATTGAAGAATATGATTAGTGTTCCTGGAGGCTGATTGATCTGTTTGGTTAAATTGTTAAACATAAAATCTTGAATAAGTGACAAGAAGTGCGTGAACATTTGAAGAAGAAATATGATTGAATGTTGATTGTATTCATATGTAATCACATTTCTTCTAATGTTCACACATTTATTGCCACTTGTTCATAACAATTCTGACATCTAGATTAAATGGCCTGAATCTATTATACCATCATGAAATTAAAGCAAAGCAAAAGCGTGCTGCTTATATATATTAAATACATATGCATATATTCATCTTCCTAAATTCTGCTGTTCAATAGTTTGTTTCAGTGAAGAAGTGAGTGTGGGGGAAAAGTGTGAAAGAAAGAAAGAAAGAAAGAAAGAAAGAAAGAAAGAAAGAAAGAAAGAAAGAAAGAAAGAAAGAAAAAAGAAAGAAAGAAAGAAAGAAAGAAAGAAAGAAAGAAAGAAAGAAAGAAAGAAAGAAAGAAAGAAAGAAAGAAAGAAAGAAAGAAAGAAAGCTGACTTCCCACCCCCCCCCACCAAGTTTGTTGCTCAAGAATAAGTAGTAAACCATCCTTTTTTTCCTTCCAGGAAAATAGTACTCAAGGCCAGACAAATTATTTTGGCACCAGAGCCAAAAATTTTAGTTCTGGCCAGGGCAGTTGCAATGGATATAAAAAATAATCTCTTAGTGTTCACTTAGTGAAGAAAGGCAGTGTGAAGCCTTCAAATATAGAAGAGGAAGAAGGGGGCTGGGAGGGTGGAGTTACTTACAATATAGTCCTATCGCCAGTATCCTATTGCTAGTCTCAAGTGGAGACTACATCAATATATTCGTAGTGAAGAAAGGCAGTGTGAAGCCTTCAAATATAGAAGGGGAAGAAGGGGGCTGGGGGGGGGTTACTTACAATATAGTCCTATAGCCAGTATCCTATTGCTAGTCTAAAGTGAAGACTACATCAATATATTCGCAAAGGCTTTCACGGACAGGATCTAATAGTTGTTGTGGGTTTTTTTGGGCTCTTTGGCCGTGTTCTGAAGGTTGTTAGGCAGTGTGAAGCCTTCAAATATAGAAGGGGAAGAAGGGGGCTGGGGGGGGGTTACTTACAATATAGTCCTATAGCCAGTATCCTATTGCTAGTCTAAAGTGAAGACTACATCAATATATTCGCAAAGGCTTTCACGGACAGGATCTAATAGTTGTTGTGGGTTTTTTTGGGCTCTTTGGCCGTGTTCTGAAGGTTGTTCTTTTTAACGTTTCGCCAGTCTCTGTGGCCGGCATCTCCAGAGGACAGAGCCCAAACAACCCACAACAACCAGGAGAGTACATCCTTTGAACCAATTACTGAATAGTAAGTCAATACTTACATAAATCCCTTAGAGTCAATGGTCCTACTCTAGTTAGGACTAGCAATAGAATACTGGCCTATATGTGCCTACTCAGAAGTAGGTCCCACTGAGTTTAGTGAGATGTACTCCCAGGTTAAGTGTGTGGAAAGATTGCTGCCTTCATGGTTGACATTTCAAACTCTTAGAATGAGGAACATGTGCCACATTTCCCACAACCACTCTCCACATTGCCCTAACAGTTTGCAGTGACAACACATTTCTCCAGTATATTAAGTCATTGTACACTAGGAAGTGCCCATTTGCTGAGATAGAATTGCATTGTCTGGGTCATGTACAAAAATTGGATTGTTACTATTTGTTCCACCCCTGCACCCCCTCTCACCAGTAAACTGGAGAGGACTGAGCCTTCACCAAGCATAACCCATGTGCTTGCAAGCCTTTCTCTGAACTGGCAACTAGAATCTGTGTGGCCAATGTGCAACATTTTCTTATCTTCTTAAAGAACTCAATTTTGCATTTGCATCCTAGAACCTGAGGATGGATACAGGGAAAGCACACACTCTTGCTTATGATTTAAAATTAATCTAGACTAACATAGCAGAGGAACAGCAAGTTTATACGTCCGTTAATTTTTTTAGTTTTAGAAGAGTTTGTCTTTAATTTTTCCATTCCCTTTGGAGTTCAGGGGAGATGATAGTGGCTCTGGGATCATTTTGGACTTCATTTTAGAATTTTGTGAAGAAACTCAAGTCTCAAAACACTGAAAACTACATTTAAGTGAAAAACAGATTTTTACAGGATTTGAGGCTAGTGCCCTACTCTTAAATTTACAGTACCAAGTTTAAGTGCGAGACATACATCAACTTCAGGTTATACAGTAATTAATTTAATCTTTTCATTTTACAGTACCACAATTTAGAGCATAGATCATCAAATAAAACAGAATGTGTTGCCTTTGCATCCTCTTGTTATGTTTCTCCCATACTGGATTAAAGACATCCAGAAAACTAAATTCTGATTTCAACATTGCTTTCCAAAACAGTTCTTTTTAACATGTACTATAAAATCACCCTATTCCACTGGGAGCCAAAGACCATCTCCTGAACAAGGGCAATATTTGCGTTCACAACAATATAAATCCTAGCATTAATCTAAAGCTGCACATTGTGGACATTTTGCAGCCTTAGATTACATTTAGAATTTGCAAGAATTCTAGAGTGCAGAACTATATAATGGTATACTACTTAGCTTTTAGTATTGCCAGACACTAAAAAAAATGCTTAAATTGTCTAGCTGCTTTCATTCACTCATGTACTGCTTTATGATCCTTTTCCCATCTACTTTTTTTTTCTTATGTCAGGTTGGGTACCGCAAAAGCACTCTGTGGTTTCCCACCTGCTCTTTCTAAACTATTCCTATACTATAATACGAGTGAAGAACTTAAAGGCAAAAAAAAAACCTTGCTGTGTCTGATCAAAGGATTAAGGCTTTCAGTAGGAATATCCCAGCCAGGTGCAGGAAATGATCACAGACTGGAGTAGCAAAGAGATTCATATACACTATGGAGAGTGAAATTAATTGCAGAAGCAAGGGAACAGGAAGATATCCTGTGGGTATATTCATACCTAATCCTCTCTGGTTTCTGAGGCCTTTAATATCTGAACCCTTTAGCAGAGAGCATTTGTTTCATTTGTGCCATCTTGATAGGCAGGTTTTGTGAGGGCAATAGAAAGTATTTTCAGTAGCTGCTCCTAGGCTGTGGAACTCGCTCCCAAGCAAGGCTAGGTTGGCCCCTTCCCTATTGTCCTTCTGCCAGGTGAGAAATGTGTTTTAGTAAAGAGTATAGTTTCCATTTCCCATACTAGCAAGGTTATGCTCAAAATCCTCCAAGGTAGGCTTCAGCAGTATGTGGACCGAGAACTCCCAGAAGTACAAGCTGGATTTCAAAGGGGCAGAGGAAATAGAGACCAAATTGCTAACATGTGCTGGATTGTGGAGAAAGCCAGAGAGTTTCAGAAAAACATCTACTTCTGCTTCATTGACTACACTGAAGCCTTTGACTGTGTGGACCACAGCAAATTACGGCAAGTTCTTAAAGAAATGTGAGTGCCTGACCACCTATCTATCTCCTGAGAAATCTATACGTGGGAAAGGAAGCAACAGTTAGAACAGGATATGGAACAATTCATTGGTTCAAAATTGGGAAAGGAGTATGATAAGGCTGTATATTGTCTCCTTGCTTATATAACTTATATGCAGAATACATCATGCAAAAGGCTGGACTGGATGAATCCCAAGCTGGAATTAAGATTGCCGGAAGAAATATTAACAATGTTCGATATGCAGATGATACGACTCTGATGGCAGAAAGTGAGGAGGAATTAAAGAACCTCTTAATGAGGGTGAAAGAGGAGAGCGCAAAAAATGGTCTGAAGCTCAACATCAAAAAAAATTAGATCATGGCCACTGGTCCCATCACTTCTTGGGAAATAGAAGGAGAAGATATGGAGGCAGTGACAGATTTTACTTTCTTGTGCTCCGTGATCATTGCAGATGGTGACAGCAGCCACGAAATTAAAAGATGCCTGCTTCTGATGAGGAAAGCAATGATAAACCTAGACAGCATCTTAAAGAGCAG